GAAATAGAAAGCGGGACATGACAATACAATTGATTAGCATGGCTGGCTACACTCTATGAAGACGTGTTAGCTATGGAATGCTTACATTATATCATTAAGCTATTTGTTATAGCAAAATATATTTTAGTTTGCACAAATATTTTAGTTGTATTAAATGCAATATTTTAAGGTATGTTTTTATGTTATTTAGTTATTAATACTAAATTAGTTGCACCAGTGTATTATTTGCAGCTTTGTTGTACCTTTCTCCTCTACCGGTGTGTCATTTGTATAGTTGTACACCTAACTCAGTTGTAACACTATTGCTAGTTGTATCGGAATGTTAGTTTTAACAGTATCTTAATGTAACAGTGTATAGCTGCTACGTTACTTTACCGTAGGATATAAGTGATGTTGTTTCAGATTTAAATAAAGCCTCCTCTTTGATTTCTCTTTTTCATCTTCTTCCGACAAAGTCAATCTGTTGCCACCGCCAGAGCGCTGGAACTTGGAACACTTGGTACCAGGCCTGACACACCTAAGCAAGAAAAATAATCACGTGATTTAGGGGCGTGGTCATATAAGTGGGACTTTCATTGGCACGAACTGATTAATCGTTTTTTTTAGTTATTTGCTTTTTACATCAATCCTTAAGTTTATTCACACAGCAAACCTCTCATTCATCCATTGGTCTTTACATCAATCCTTAAGTTTATTCACACAGCAAACCTCTCATTCATCCATTGGTCTTTACATCAATCCTTAAGTTTATTCACACAGCAAACCTCTCATTCATCCATTGGTCTTTACATCAATCCTTAAGTTTATTCACACAGCAAACCTCTCATTCATCCATTGGTCTTTACATCAATCCTTAAGTTTATTCACACAGCCAACCTCTCATTCATCCATTGGTCTTTACATCAATTGTTAAGTTTATTCACACAGCAAACCTCTCATTCATCCATTGGTCTTTACATCAATCGTTAAGTTTATTCACACAGCAAACCTCTCATTCATCCATTCGTCTTTACATCAATCGTTAAGTTTATTCACACAGCCAACCTCTCATTCATCCATTGGTCTTTACATCAATCGTTAAGTTTATTCACACAGCCAACCTCTCATTCATCCATTGGTCTTTACATCAATCCTTAAGTTTATTCACACAGCCAACCTCTCATTCATCCATTGGTCTTTACATCAATCGTTAAGTTATTCACACAGCAAACCTCTCATTCATCAATTGGTCTTTACATCAATCGTTAAGTTTATTCACACAGCAAACCTCTCATTCATCCATTGGTCTTTACATCAATCCTTAAGTTTATTCACACAGCAAACCTCTCATTCATCCATTGGTCTTTACATCAATCGTTAAGTTTATTCACACAGCAAACCTCTCATTCATCCATTGGACTTTACATCAATCGTTAAATTTATTCACACAGCAAACCTCTCATTCATCCATTGGTCTTTACATCAATCCTTAAGTTTATTCACACAGCAAACCTCTCATTCATCCATTGGTCTTTACATCAATCCTTAAGTTTATTCACACAGCAAACCTCTCATTCATCCATTGGTCTTTACATCAATCCTTAAGTTTATTCACACAGCCAACCTCTCATTCATTCCCTCATCCACTTGTCAATCTACTATTATTCATGTTTTGGCAAGGATTGAGCTCACTTTCTTTACCATCCTTGCTAACACTCTGGCATAAAGCTCCTACTGCGTGACTGTGCAAAGATGTGGTGTTTTTAAATTTTAGCCCCACACGTCTTCTTGGCCTCCAAAATTTCAAAATTGGGCCCGTATTAGACAAGTTTAAAACAGTTTCCTGTGGATCATTGTGTATTATCGAAAGTTTTTTTTTTATTTTTATGGTCTCGCCTGTGGAAGTAGAACTTAGTAAAGCAGTTATCTCTGATGTGTCGAGCTCTGTTGATTACTTTTACAATGCCACCACTGATGCAACTTTCTGGGGAAGCCAATGTCATCGGGTGTAGTGAAAGCAACACACTGTCCTAAACTGGTCCTTAAAATAATTTTTGATAGCGTTTAATGTGACTACTATCCGTAAATGTGGTTATCCAGCTCTGGATTTTAGTAATTTATCTTCGTTTCTATTGCCCGTATCAATATGTTTTGTTGTGACACATAGCCAGATACATTTTCTTTCATTTCCGGTAGCTCTTGCCAACATTATTTATAATGGCGTCAACTAAGAGCGTGCTTCTTGCACACATTTACATGTACGACCTCTATACTGTGACCTTTAATTACCCAAACAAACTGTTCACTGTGCACCCTTTCCAGTAGAGCTCCCATTGGATAGCCTCGGGCCACATGTCCAGATTAGATTTCTATTTTAACTTATAATCATAAAATGATATTTAGCAATATCGCTGTATCAAAATATACCCTGGCCATCGACACCCTGTCCACATCCCCCAAGTACGTGTATATCGCAAACACAGCTGTGGCACAAATTTGGCTCCACAGTAGAGGTTCTAGACTCTTGTGGTCATGCCCTTTCGTTGATTTAATCTTTTTGATTGTTGTTGTTGGCATTCTTTTCAGCCGGTCTTTATTTCAATTCATAATTTTATAAGGATTAAGTATCGCTCTCTCTCAAGGTGCTTATTATAAAAACCATTTTAAGTATTTTTTATATTTTTATTTTTATTTTTATATGAAAAGAAAGAACTACATTTGGTTGTTCACGGAAGTTCAATGTTGTGGCCAGGATTTTAAGAGGGACAATGCTAAATAGTGTTGAATGTAAATGTAATGCATTTTATGAAATTCCCGAACTAAACGCAAAATAAAAATAATCATTAGCACGTGACTCACTTACATCAAACAATCGATATTCTAAAATTCCGAAGCATTTTTTATATACGAAGAATAAAAAAAAAAAAAGGAAAATTTGCTTCTTCAGCGGAAAATACTAAATAAATAATAATTTAGTTGATTTTGAGAAACTTCAGTGATCCCAGATACCAAAAAAGTTAACTAAAGTAACGTCCCTATATTCACAATCTATCGATCTACTCACTTACATCAAACAATCGATATTCTAAAATTCCGAAGCATTTTTTATATACGAAGAATAAAAAAAAAAAAAAAAGGAAAATTTGCTTCTTCAGCGGAAAATACTAAATAAATAATAATTTAGTTGATTTTGAGAAACTTCAGTGATCCCAGATCCCAAAAAAGTTAACTTAAGTAACGGCCCTATGGTCACAATCTATCGATCTCAGTGTCTGTGTTGAAAGGAAGGGGCACTTTGAAAACATAATTTCTTGTAAACAATATCGTGCCTCTCACATAATTCGGTCCTTAGTGTTGTGAAGGTAAATAATATGAACTATTTAAAAAAAATAGTTAATATCAAATCGTTAAACCACAAGAAATTAGAACCTAAATAACGATACATTGTGGAAGTAAGAGAGTAGTTGCTTCGATTCCATCGTTTGGAAAGTGATCCTTTATCTGTTTTTTATGATTCATTCTGTCTCCCTGGTCAATTATGGCAAGACATTAGAGCCGCTATAGTTACATTTGATGTGGACATTTTCTTCAGATCAGTTCTATAACCCCAGAAAAATGTTTAATGAGCCTATCCTATTTCGTTGCTGTCATAAAACATATATAATAGTAGTAGCCTTTTCGGAAGAAAATCAGTTAGTGCAGATCTCAACTGACACATGCGAAACCCTATTAGATGGTAAAGTCCCCCCCCCCCCGCTCTCCTTTCCCAGAGAAGTCAAATTGTTTACAGTAAAATTCCTCCGTGATCATGGCTCAGTCTTTAGTGCAGATCTCAACTGACACATGCGAAACCCTATTAGATGGTAAAGGCCCCCCCCCCCGCTCTCCTTTCCCAGAGAAGTCAAATTGTTTACAGTAAAATTCCTCCGTGATCATGGCTCAGTCTGGACGTGAGAAGTTTCGCCTCAAAGGCTGCTGTAAACCAGAAGATCACATAGCTTCTCATCCCGTCTAAAGACAAATAAGGGCAGGCAGGAGATGGGGATACCCGGTTGGTGTCAAGGTTATCAGCGAAGGGCACATTGCGTTTCCTTAAGTGATGAATATAATTTAAATTTAACCAATTGTAATATCGGCCCAAGAAAATTCGAACCTTTAATTATTTTTAATGGTAATATGGGTTAGGCAAGGAGAGGAATGGGTGCCGCCATGCGAAACTGCCCTAAATACGGTACATGTACATGAGAACAGATTCACAGTTCATACCGGCTGGGCCGTCGCCCGGTTTAACAATGGCTGCACCTACAGTCCTTGACCGGGACGGAGGTGGAAGATATGCTACTGGTCAGCCAAAAACCAGTATCAGTGCCAGGAATAACATTACACTAGGTACCTGGAACGTGAGATCGTTGAGAGAAACGGGAAAGGTGGAGGAATTAGTTCATGAAATGAGCAGATACAGATGGGGCATCCTGTGCGAAATGAGATGTAAAACCTTTGGAGAAATATTGACCCAGAAAGGCCACATACTGTATCTTAGTGGACGGGAGGACAGACGCGAACAAGGAGTTGGATTCCTCGTTCACAAAAACATTAAGATGCCTCATGAGTACATGCTTCCGTGAGGTTTGTGAGACAAACAAGTTTAAGAATCCCTCACTTATACCAAGCAATTACCAATTAATGGTTGATCCGAACTTCAAGCTTTTTGCTGCAGATACGTGTGTCACAATTTTAGAATTTCCAAACATCCAGCTTAGAATCGCGAACAAGAGTTTAACAGTCGCTAGCAGTAAACTGACTCAAATCAAATGTTTTATTAAATAACACAAAATGATGCCGGTCTACAAAAAAGTATACAAAAGCTAAAACTGAATTTTATTTTTTTTTAAAGAAAAAAATCACAGCTAGGTATTAAATGTATAACATGTATATATTTATTGATAAGTTAGTTGAAATGAGATGCATAAATTGCAAATGCGTGTAAAGCTTAATGCTCAGAATTTTATACACAAGCATTTATGCAAAACAAAGATCTATCCAAAACTTGTAGAAGTGATTTTTAAACTGTGCTAAATTTTAAAAAAATTTTTTGGGTATATTATTAGACGTCAGTGAAGAAATAAGTTTTACAGGCAAATGTAATATGTAGAAGTATATAAAGCCATATTTGTACACACACACACACACACAAAGAACTACAAAATAAGCATTTTGATGTTGTGGCATTGTAGGCGAGGATACATTTATGAATCGACAAAATCAACCATAGAATGAGAAGTTTTTCATGTTTAAGGCTACTGTTTCAAGGCTAGTTGTCGTTTTCTTCAAACCACCAAGTGCTGTTGATACAGTTGCCATAGGTTTTGCTCCCCGCAATATGGAAAGACATTCCAACAGCGGAACGGCAGTCTGAAAGATTAAAAAAAAAACACAACGAAACCAGTGACGGGGTCTTTCAGTGGATAAGTTCATTCACAGTTACTGCAGTCTTTAAGACAATAAAACAAAGATTTAGCAAAGTCAAAAATGTAAGTAAGAAGTTAAACTCTATAACATATGAGTTGTACAATAATATCAATAAGCGTTATTTACTATGTTATTTGCACAATAATATTATACCTCATTGGAATAAAAAACATTTTCACGCAACTATGAGTGGACCGGCCGTCGGGCCTTGATGAAACATGTAGAAGAATAAGCACATGCTCAGGGTAGTATGAGAGAGGTTGCGACACAATTTTTTGCATAAATCATCACGTCATTTTAACGCTCAAGCTGTCTCAAGGGCCCATAATCTATTATTGTTTCCGTGGCTAAATAATAATTCGCAGTTACGGTAATTCATAGTATAATGTGAATCACAAGTGTAACATTTCCTAAATGGGAGCTGCTCTCAAAACATTGTTTTACCTTCCTTATTTTAAAGGAAAAAAAAAATTACACGGAAAAAAGGTCAAGTGTTTTTGTTTATTTAGAAAAAAACAATTAAAAGAAGTTTTACCATTGAATAACCTCAGAGTTGAGCAGAAGAATTGCGTTCAGTTGACGGATGTGGATTAGTTTCACAACATGTTGCACCGTCGCCGATAAAAAAAAACACCCACATACTTCGTCATCGGAAATTGACACAGCCACTTGTTACCAATAAAAATCATCGGTTTCACAATCGAAAACCCTCTCTTAAACTACATCTTTGCCTTCAGATCTCACTAGTTGTCACAATCATAAACTCGTTCAGAAACTGTATTTAAGACTTCAGATCTCAATAGTTGTCACAATCACAAACTCGTTCAGAAACTGTATTTAAGACCTCAGATCTCACTAGTTTTCACAATCACAAACTTGTTCAGAAACTGCATTTAAGACTTCAGATCTCACTAGTTGTCACAATCACAAACTCGTTCAGAAACTGTATTTAAGGCTTCAGATCTCAATAGTTGTCACAATCACAAACTTGTTCAGTAATTGCATTTAAGACTTCAGATCTCACTAGTTTTCACAATCACAAACTTGTTCAGAAAATACACTTAAGACTTCAGATCTCACTAGTTGTCACAATCACAAACTCGTTCAGAAACTGTATTTAAGACTTCAGATCTCAATAGTTGTCACAATCACAAACTTGTTCAGAAACTGCACTTAAGATTTCAGATCTCACTAGTTGTGACAATCACAAACTCGTTCAGAAACTGTATTTAAGACTTCAGATCTCAATAGTTGTCACAATCACAAATTTGTTCACAAATTGCATTTAAGACTTCAGATCTCACTAGTTGTCACAATCACAAACTTGTTCAGAAACTGCATTTAAGACTTCAGATCTCACTAGTTGTTACAATCACAAACTCGTTCAGAAACTGCATTTAAGACTTCAGATCTCGCCAGTTGTCACAATCACAAACTTGTTCAGAAACTGCATTTAAGACTTCAGATCTCACTAGTTGTCACAATCACAAACTCGTTCAGAAACTGTATTTAAGACTTCAGATCTCAATAGTTGTCACAATCACAAACTTGTACAGAAACTGCACTTAAGACTTCAGATCTCACTAGTTGTCACAATCACAAACTCGTTCAGAAACTGTATTTAAGACTTCAGATCTCACTAGTTGTCACAATCACAAACTTGTAAAGAAATTGCATTTAAAACTTCAGATCTCACTAGTTGTCACAATCACAAACTTGTTCAGAAACTGCATTTAAGACTTCAGATCTCTCTAGGTGTCACAATCACAAACTTGTTCAGAAACTGCATTTAAGACTTCAGATCTCTATAGGTGTCACAATCACAAACTTGTTTATAGTTGCATTTCAGTTTAAGACTTAAGATCTCACTAGGTGTCACAATCACAAACTTGTTTATGAACTGCATTTAAGATTTCAGACCTCACAACGTGTCACAATCACAAACTAAATTAAACAACTTCAGGTTCTTGCTATCACCATCAAAAGGATCAGTCACTGTATTGTATATTAATTACCTTGCAATTTTTATGTGAGCTAAGAGTGGACATTGAGCAAGAACTTGAGCCAAGAATAAACCATCAGTCCATTAACTAAACTTAACACCATGTTTCATCCGTTAATTAAAAAAAAAATAAACGTTTACCAAATATTAAACGAAACTATTTTATAGATTAATTTGGTTCATACTAAAGTTTTAATTGACGTAAATGTATCAGGGATGATGGACCAGGGATCCCGTTTTGATAGAGATTGTAACCCTTTATCCAGGACAAGCACTAACCACGGAGAGGAGAATCCCTAGTGATGCTTAGTACAAATTCACATCGTCCGTCTATCTTAATGATATAGGATACTCGTGTGATAAGTGAGGCTATTTGTGCTTAAAATGGGAGGGATATTGCTTACGATGATAGCCATTAATCTCTAATGTCACATACAAATACAAAACAGACTTACAGATTTTTGCATTCAGACAGTATGTTCTGCACTGTAGTTGTATTCAAATTTGGAAATGGACCGAGAAGCCTCAGGTACAGATGCTTTATAGTTCTATGGTAGTGGGCAACACGATGAAGTATTATGGTGAGCTAAAGAAAATAAATATAGATCTATACTTTGGTGGTAAGTTATGTAAATATGTATGATAAATATAGGGGATAAAAATATATTGTTACTGATATGCCCGTCTTTGCCCGAAATTACATGAGTTCAAGTTTTAAAAAAAAGTCAGATTTTTAAGCTGTTATAAATTGACTAATTTAGGTGGGCCCTATAATCATTAAAAAAATTAAAAATTCAAGTTAACATATAAAGAATTCAAAACTTTAACGGAGGACAGTTAAAATGAACAAATTGTATCATTAAATGCATTGAAATAATAGGCAGACGGCGTAAACACAGCAAATGTAATACATTTCCAAGATGATATTACATAAATCTCACTCCCACCCAACCCCACCCTCCCCCCACCCCCCCCCCCCCCCCCCCCTTTAAACAAAAGTAAATTTCTCAGGAATAATACAGAAATATAGTTGTTTCTATAATATGGCAAAAAAATGTTTTCATCGCGAAGCTATATTTTAGCAACGGCAAGATTTAGTCTCTATATTTATATATTATCAAACAGTTTTTCAAGATCAATTTTTTTTTTCTTCTTGATTTAGAGCTCGCGCCCTATTTGGGGTTTAAAGCAACCAGATGTCTCAAAGTAAACAATTTTTACGGAATGCTTCGGATACTTTAAAAACCAAAAAATGTATTTTCCTCAAAAAAAAAATAATTATATTTTGTTGTACAACACATCCCATAGGACTGAAATATCGAGTCAAAACCGGCGTTTCAAAAAAAAAAAATCAAGATTGTATATCATTTTTTGTTTCCTTAAATACACAAACCACTTTTTAAAAAGGTTACCAGTTACTGAAATCAAGCTTTGTACAAAGGGAAACTTAAAACTGACGATATTTTTTGTTTTGTGTCCGTTGCAGGCGTACGATATAATTGCAGCTTGTACTTAAAGATAAATAAATGGCAAAAGCTCACCGACAATCATTTTAAGACTCGTCTAACCTCAATCTCCGTTGCAGCTTCTTTGTATGTGGACCAGGATAAATTCAACAAGGGAATAGCCGGGGATAACATCTCAAGCAATCGTTTGACGTCATGGAACATTGAGGCTCGGAGCTCAACCAACAAATTTGGGTGGGTGCTCACCAATGACGTCCACGTCTCGCAGGTTATTACGTGAGCTGATTGAGTGGACGGCACAAAAGGACCTTGTCAGTTATGTGTAAAAATTGAACAAATACACACTTGATTGCTTTGGTGCACGTAGAACCTGCAACATTTAGTTACGGAACGCTAATTTACACCAAAACGTTAGCTAAGCACAGGATGGCGTATATTTATGCAGGCACAAAAGAAACCGTGTTAACGTCTTTATAATTATAGCTTTTTTAAAAAAGAAGGCAAATTTGACGTTATCCATTCACCTGGAGGCATCTGATTCTAAATGAGAAGACAGAACCACCCCCCCACCCCGTTATATAGAACCAACACTTAAATTATTATAAATGAAGAAATGTTTGGCTTGTGCATACATTTACAAGATTAAAACACTTTCAATGGCACAAAAATTTTTTTTTTAAATATTAAATTTAAAAAAAAAAAACATAAATAACCAACCAACCAACAAACAAACATACCGGGATGGGCGTATTCGAAAGCCAAGAACTTAATGAACGAGAGATTGGGACATCCCGTGACCCAGGTTTTGACCAATTCTTCCGACATTTCAGCGTAATACAACTGAATACGAGAGAGGCCTGTGAACTTCTGAAATTATTATAATATAATCAAAACCGTTATCTTGACGGGAAGTTAAAAATCAAGACTATAAAACAAATTCAATGCATCGACCAAAGCCTGTGCTGGAGTATGGGGATGAAATGGGGTTGGTTAGAGACTTGCCAGGCCATCACACTTAACTTAAAAAAAAGTATGGCGCCTGACAAGAATTAAATTAGCTAAATTTGCAAGTGAGAGATCTGGGACTCTACTTTAAAAGATATTAGAATACAATCAGTGGTACGCTTGTCAAATAAAAAGATAAATAGATACAATAAGAAAAGAACGCTAAAATAATAAGATAACTGTTACGTATGACATTTTTTCCCCTGCGTGAACTTTGCTTTACCCAAATTAGATTCCTAGCACACGCTAACTTCATATATGGGCGTGGCTTGTCTCTTGGATGTATCGTGCTTATTATCGACTACCAATTAAATATGGTTAGTATGTCTCCTAGTCTCTTGTCGAATGATCGCGATTTGTTCTAGAAACGTAAACAAATGCTGAGTAGTTTCTGGAAGGTAGTGCTTGCGCTGCATATATAAATGGATTGAAAGACACGGAGAGAGAGATTCAGATAGATATTATTAACTTTACGAGAAAATTGTATTATTCTTTGTGTGCTCTTATGTGTTTATTCGCATTGATCATTCATGATTATTAATTGGCAAATTGTACTAACAACAGTGCACTGGTACAAGATTTTAACATACCGGTTTAAGATTTTCACATACTCTGTAAGCTGATTATTTGTTATTTTATTTCTATTGTTTTGTAATTGTATTATTACTGAATTAAATCTTACTAATTGTAATCGGCAACTGTTTTTGCGTGTCGTAACTTTATTATCGTATTTATCTATGGTCTCGTCCTTTGTTGTGCACTGCGTGAACGAACCATAACTTAAAACAAGAGATTAATTTCCCACAATAGAAGCCAGTGCGTAACGATAACTAATCGAAAAAAATAAGATAAACGCGTTTAAATTTTATTAAGAAAACCTAGATGCAATCAGATAGCATGATGATAACGATGTGTTTTTATGTGGCTGTAATTGATAGACAAACGAAAACATCGTGGGAACAGTGATGTTATAGCAGTTGTTCTTGTTGCAGGTACTGAACCCCACCAGTTTCAAATGCGCATTCACCGAACTCTTCTTATTGGGGAGAAATAAAATATTTTTTTTCTGATTTTTTTGAGACCTCCACCAAACCCCTGAGACTGTCTCACCGAACCCCTGGGGTTCAATCGAATCAAGGTTAAGAACCACTGTGTTATAGTGATTTGACGATGACCTGCATTTCTGTTAACACTCGTCCCTCTCGGAATATAGACTTTCCAATTTCAAAAAAGCCATATAGAGATAGGTCATGGATGGTAGCTGCAGAGGCCTCGGCTAAACGTTGTAGACATTTTAGACCACTCTCAATGTCAAAGTATGACCTGTGCATACGAAATTTCTAAAAATAAAGTAATAAAAGAGTTTTTATAATAATGCACTACAACATGGGCAGAAATAGAATAGATGTTACAAAGTACTAAAAACAATTTATATGTCATAAAAAATAAAACTGAATTAAAAGAAAAAAAAAAGAAAAAAAAAGGGATTGAATGATCATTAATATATTATCTCATCTAAAAAATAAATATACTTGACCTATAAAACATGATAATATATTTATTTAACATGTTTTAAATGAAATTTTCATTTCAGGATGTATGGAGCCTAGAGCCCAGTAAGAGAGCATCAACACCAACTTTACAACCACCATGAACTAAATGGACACACGCTCTCTCCGATTCTACCGTCTATCCCGAGGTGTCCATGTATCCTGGTGAAATCTCCAAGATAAACAACAGCGTGTATATATTTTTTTTACCCTGAGACAGTGCTGATCGTGAACTAATCTGTTTAACGAGTCTATTAAATCTATTCGCATCTTCCGTCTGACATTGTTTACTCCCAAATAGGAAATCCAAATACTTCTAAGTTTGGCGCCATCCAGACACGTAGAGAACTCTTTGAAGTCGTCGACGATGTCCTTAATCCCAGATATTAGGGAGATGTTAATATTAATGTCTTGAAGAGACGTTGGAAACTGTTTGCAGAATTCGATCGCGTGCTGTCCTAATGAGAAATAAATCAGGAATGTGTCATTAACAAACTTGGGGTAAGGACAAATGATTCGAGGTAAGGGATGGACTTCAAAGAAATAGAAAACGGGACATGACAATACAATGATTACCATTTCTGGCTACATTATATGACGACTCGTGGGAAACATCCATGCTTACATTATATCATTATGTTATTTGTTATAGCAGAGTATATTTTAGTTTGTGAAAATATTTTAGTGGATTATATGCAATGTTAAGGTATGTCATTTGCGTTATTCCATTAATTGTACCACTAAATTAGCTGCAACTGTATATTAGTTGTACCTGTAGGGTACCTTGACAAGTAAGAGTTTTCTTTTCCGTTTATTTTTTTTTTTTAACAAGTGTGTTAGTTGTATAGTTGTACCACTAAATCAGCTGCACCATTATTGCTAGTTGTATCGCAATGTTAGATTTAACAGTTATCTTATTGTAACAGTGTGTAGCTGCTACGTTACTGTACCGTATGACCTCGGGCATGCATGTTCAGATTTATATAAAGCATCCTTTTTGATTTGTCGTCTTGTTCTTTTTCCGCCGAACACAATACTTCGCGACCTCCACAGCGCTGGAACTTGGAAGACTAGGTACCAGGGCTTACATACCTTAGCCAGGAAAATAAGGGTGTGATTTAGGAGCATGGTCAACTAAGGGGGACCTTCAGTGACAGGACCTCATTACAAGTTTGGTTTCATAAAGGGCCTTTTTGTTGTCGTTTTTTTATTATTTTAAATTTCAATGTCGGCATAAATATAATAATAGAAAGACTAGAAAAGAAAATGGGCGTTGCTCAGGAGATTGTTCATAATGCATCCATCTATCCCTGTTCTTAATGGAGTAGAATAAAGGAATTGAGCGAGAGTTTCATTTATAATTTCGTGGATGTTATTTGGCATCGATGCAACGGTTTCAATCATGTCATTGACCAATAATTATGTATTTTTTGTTTATGATTTGTGTAGCACCATAAAGTCACTACTTGACTGAAGAGCAAAAACACTACTGTGAAAAGTGGCTGAGCTATTACTTGAAAATTTTATTTATCAATTATAAATCTATCCACGCATTCACTAAACCTTAAAACTATTTTGCATTTTTTTCCCCACACATTGAACCACTTACTCATTCAGTCATTCTTTCAACAATCAATTTTTTAAAATCACACAGCCAATCACTCATCCATCCTTTTTTTTCCTTGAACCAATCATTAAGTTTATTCACCAATCTGACATCTCATTCATTCACTCATCCATCCACCAGTCAATCTACTATTATTCATATTCTTCACCATCCCTGCTAACCCACTGGCAAAAAGTTCCATCCGCTTGACTGTACAAGGATATTATTTTTTTTAAATTTTGGGCTGACATTCCGTCTTGGCCTCAAAGATGTTAACATTAGGGCCCGAATTTGACATATGTACAACAATTTCCTTTGAGCCATTCTCTTCTGTCGACAGTTTAACTCTTTGTGATGTACTGGCCTTTGAATTAGGACTCAGTAGGGCAGTTGTCACTGATACACAGAGCTCTCTTGATTACTTTTCTAATAGCCACCATGAATCAGAAATTTGGGGGAAGGCAATGTTATCGTGAGCATTGAAACCAACACGCTGTCCTAAAGTGGTCCTTAAAAACAATTTTTGATGGCGAGTAAGGATTTTACTATGAATATGCTTGTTCGTTGCCCTGAACAATATGTCCCTTTGTGACGTATTGCCTGATAAACTTTCTTCTATTTCCGGTAGCAGTTGCCAATATTATTAATAATTGCGTCCACCAAGAACTAGGCGTGTTGAACACATCTGCTTGTGCAATCTCAATATTGAATCCCTTACATACCCAGACAGGCAGTAAGTGACTGTGCACACATTCCAGTAGAGTTCCCATCTGATAGCCTCAGGCCACATGACCAAATTCGACGATGTAGTCTTACATTGTCTCGAAACTAGTCATGCACATGCAACATTAGAGGCTCTACTTGCAGATTTAGCAGATCACAAACCCGTCCATTCATCCAATCCACTCATCTGTCCATCAACCAACTATCCATCCATGTCACCAGGAATTGTAACCTATAATTTCTATTTTAACATTTGATAATATAAAAATTACCCTGGCCATTGAAACCCTGTCCACATCTCCCAAGCACGTGTATATGGCAACTACAACTGTGGCGGGAATTCGGATCCACGGTGGTGGTACTGGCACTTTGTTCTTGCGGTCCTGCCTTTTTGTTGATTTAGTCTTTTTGACGGTCTTGCGCATTCCTTTACCTTGGTCTTTCTATTAATTCATTAATGTATTACGGTTTTATTATCTTACTCAAGATGTAAATTTTAAATACCATTGATTGTGTTTTCAAATTTTTTTCCCTCCTTTGTATATTAAAACAAGGACCTACATTTGGTTGTTCAAGGAAGTTCAATTTTGTGGCCACGACTTTAAGAACGACGATGCTAAATAGTGTTAAGATAATTCATTTTTTTTTTTTTTTGGAAATTCCCAAAAAAACGCAAAATAAATAATTTTAAAGCAAAAAAAAAAAAAAAAAAAAAAAAAAAAAAAAAATTTTTTTTTTTTTTTTTTAAAAATTAAAAAAAAAAAAAAAAAAAAATATTTTAAAAAAAAAAAAAAAAAAAAAAAAAAAAAAAAAAAAAATCAGTAACCCTCGACCCACATACTTAAACCAATCAATGTTCTACATCTCCGAGGCATGATACAATGCTTTTATATGGGAAATAAAACACACGCAAAATCATTCTTTTGCAAAAAAAAAAAAATAAAGAGAAAAGCTAATTATCTGATCTATATTGAAAAACTCGAGTGATCCCAGATTCCAAAGTAGTTATCTGAAAGTAAATGTTCCATGATTACCATATATCTTTGTTAGTCTCTGTGTAGAAAGGGGCACTGTGAAAACAGAATTTGTTCTTAACCAAATAATGCCTCACACATCATTATATGGTATGTGTTGCAAAGTTAAATGATTTGAATAATTTTCAGTGTAATAGGGAAATTTTAAACTACAAAAAAAAAAATTAGAAAATAAATAGTTAGAAATTAAGTGCCACTGGTAAGAGAGAATCTGTTTGTTTTTTTCATGCTGTGAAATGAATCGATTTCGAAAGTGATAATTCATTTGTTTTTATCTTCACTCAGTCTCGCTCGGGAATTAGAGTTGGTATCGTTGCATTTGATGTTAAAATGTATTCACATCTATTGAAATGAAAGTGGACCTTAGTTTTTGTTTATTTTAATACTCCAAATATGTTCTTCTTCTTCCATATCTTAAAGGTCCACGATCAATGTATTGATCATTTTGGCTCCTATGCATGTAGATGGGATTTGCAATGTTTCTGTGCCTGGTGTTGATGGGGATATTTCACTGATTTCAAGTGCTACATTGTAAGAGAATCATGCACTGGGGGTTGGAAGGCTTGAGGCAATTGTCGCAAATGTGTCTAGTGGTGTCGCCTCAACTGTTCCTTTTGAAAGATTGTTCCAGTCCCTGATTGTCTTGGGAAGGAATGAGCAGTTTCTATACTGGCTTCCTACTTTTATGAGCCTGAATCGCCTGTCATGGCCTGATCGCTTTCTAAGGGGGGAGAGGGACGAGTTTCTGTTTAATACTGGAACAGTGGACCAGCCCATTATTTATATTTTACATTATGGAGAGCCTGGATAGCCGTCGTCTTTCCTCCAATGGTGACCATCTCAGTGTTTCCAGCATTTTCTATGAGCTTAAGAGATATCGTTGTTCTTATATTGCCTTTATAACAGGAGAAGCCTCTCCGGCACAAAATCACTTCGTTCAGATTTTTTTTTTTTTATACACGTTAAGACCTCTTTGATGGTAAAGATCCCTGCCCGGACAAGCCAATTTATTTAAAGGTCAAGTCCTACATGAACATTTGTTTGTCCGTGCCAGGGAAGGGTCGGCTCAAAAGCGTCTGTGACCCAGAAGATAGCATAGTTTCTAGCCTGTCTGAAGACATTAAGTGCAGAGACTGAGAATTAGCTTTTTTTTTTTTTTTTTTTTAAATTTAAAAGAACGTTTTACACACATTCGTTTTACCAATGTGTCCCATTGCACTGAAAATATACAAAATAGTTTATATTAAGTGCAGAGACTGAGAATTTGGTTTTTTTTTTTTTTTTTTTAAATTTAAAAGAACGTCTTACACACATTCGTTTTACCAATGTGTCCCATTGCACTGAAAATATACAAAATAGTTTATATATATATATTTTATACGACAAAATGATCTTTTCTTTTTTAATTCATTTTAAATGGATTTAGTCTATGAACTTTTTTTTTTTTAAGCTCACATCCGTCAGTCACAATGTGACGATGGTTCCGACTTTGCTGGACGAAATCCACAAGAATTATTCTTTATAAGATTATAAGCTCGTTCTCTAGACAGCCAATAGCTTTTCTCCACGCTCTTGAATAAACCAAATCAACGTCATGTGGATGATACAGCTTGGCACCAGTTGCGTCATAAAAGTTGTGTCGATGTTATCAACCTACGGGACTCCATCCCCGGCTTTGATGTCCTCGATGAGTGGCCATTAATAGGTATCAAGTCTCACCCAGACGGGGTGATTGTGTTTTTCTTCCGTGTCTAAACTTTAGCTTGGCATTGAACTCCAGACTACAGGTTATGGATTGACTTAGTTTAGAGAGCTCCAACATGTCAGTTATCAGATCTGACTTAACAAGCTACGGTGCAGGCTATTTCAATTTCTAACAGGAGTTATACTTAATGGGTAGGGCAATGTGTTAGCGTGAAAACCCTCGTGGAGGAGTCCTAATTGACTAAAAACCAATTTTTGATATAGAGAAAGAGACTAGTTAGAGAAAGAGACTAGTTAGAGAAAGAGACTAGTTAGAGAAAGAGACTAGTTAGAGAAAGAGACTAGTTAGAGAAAGAGACTAGTTAGAGAAAGAGACTAGTTAGAGAAAGAGACTTGTTAGAGAAAGAGACTAGTTAGAGAAAGAGACTAGTTTTCTAAGTCGTGGCCCGGGAACCCTTTTCTTTTTTTTACGAATGTATCTTCTGGTTTATACCCCTTTCAAAAACAATCTTTTCTCTATACCCCTTTCAAAAACAATCTTTTCTCTATACCCCTTTCAAAAACAATCTTTTCTCTATACCCCTTTCAAAAACAATCTTTTCTCTATACCCCTTTCAAAAACAATCTTTTCTCTATACCCCTTTCAAAAACAATCTTTTCTCTATACCCCTTTCAAAAACAATCTTTTCTCTATACCCCTTTCAAAAACAATCTTTTCTTTATACCCCTTTCAAAAAAAATCTTTTCTCTATACCCCTTTCAAAAACAATCTTTTCTCTATACCCCATTCAAAAACAATCTTTTCTCTATACCCCTTTCAAAAACAATCTTTTGAAACTGATTTAACCATACATTCAATCAACTTTTCACCATTTCATTTAACCTTTCTCTCGTATATGCGTATAATATTTGCATCCTTGAAATGATGAGGTTCAGTACCGACTTTCCATATAAAC